GGTCATCTCTGCCAGGACTGCGCTGACGGGTACTACCGCCACACACCAGCCAATCAGAGTCAGTCTGTGTGCACAGGTAACACTGAGCTCCTCCCTGCTGGGGATCCGTGACTGTCTGTCCGTCTGCGTCTGTGCCAGCCTGTCTGTCCGTCTGCGTCTGTGCCAGCGTGTCTGTCCGTCTGCGTCTGTGCCAGCGTGTCTGTCTGTCCGTCTGCGTCTGTGCCTGCGTGTCTCTGTCTGTCTGTCTGCATCTGTGCCAGCGTGTCTCTCTGTCTGCGTCTTTGCCAGCGTGTCTCTGTCTGTCTGTCCGTCTGTCTCTGTGCCAGCGTGTCTCTGTCTGTCCGTCTGCGTCTGTGCCAGCGTGTCTCTGTCTGTCCGTCTGCGTCTGTGCCAGCGTGTCTCTGTCTGTCTGTCTGCCTGCGTCTGTGCCAGCGTGTCTCTGTCTGTCTGTCTGCGTCTGTGCCAGCGTGTCTCTGTCTGTCTGTCTGCGTCTGTGCCTGCGTGTCTCTCTGTCTGCGTGTGTGTTTCTGTGTCTCTGTCTGCGTGTCTGTGTCTGAGTGTTGTCTGCTGTCGGACTGCCTGTTTTGGAACGTGTGGTGTTACAGTCTGACTGTAACTCAAGGAGCTCCTGTATATTTGTCTTCAGAATCTCCATCCTTCTCCACCTGATGGTCAGTCAGTAAGTCAGTCTGTCTGTTATTTATGTCAGTGTGTTATCGGAGTCACCAGGGCTGCAGAGTGTTGCACTGGAAGGTTGAGGGTTCGAATCCCAGGTGAGACGCTGCGGTTGTTTCCTTGAGGAAAGGGCTTCGCCTGACTTACTCCAGGTAGACACCCAGCAGTGTGAGTGTGCCCGATGCTGACAGCTGCCTGTCTGCCCCCAGCCTGCTATCGTTCCTGCAAGAGGTGCTCGGGCCCGGAGGACTTCAAGTGCCTGGAGTGCAAGGCGGGCTGGAGTTTCCACGACAACAAGTGTGTGGGTGAGTGCTCTCTGACCTCTGACCCAGGGAATCTTGATGGCTCACGTTGCACCAGGACTTGGTAAGAGAGCAGGGCAGTAGTTGCATGTGGGTCTGCTGATGACTGCTGAGCACTGCTCTGGGCTGTGTGTTACAGCCGGAAGACAGCTCCTAAAGCCGGAAAGGGCTGTTGTTTATGAGGTCAGCTGATGTAA